CGCGCGTTGGGAGCCACTTTTCCGAGCGGAAGTCAGCCTGTGGCTCGGGCTCCTGTGGGACCTGCTCGGAGGAATGGCGCCGCCGGGTGAGGCGTTGCGCATGGCTTAACGACGAGGCCCTGCGGCCAGCGCGCCCTGGGGAGCGGGCCGTAGCCCGCGGGAGGCTAGTGCCCGCCACCCGGGAGCCGGCTAGGCGAGAGCCCCTTCCCCTGTTGGGCAGGGGCATGGGCATGGGCTCGGGCTCGGACTCTTTCGGGGTCGAGGGTTTTTCCGAGGGCTGCTAGCTCGTGGAGTGCCTGCGACCCGAGAGCGGGTGGTGGGATGGAGGGGCGGTGCGGCGCGGAGCTACGGGTGCCCCCGAGGCCCAGCGGAGGGCGACGGCTGCACTTAACCCGGGGCCTGGCTTCAGTCATTCATTTGGCTCGTGCAGGCTTCCGGACCAGGCCGCCTAAGATAATCTTAACACGTTGACTCTTACTTCGGTGTGAACTTTTGGCCCCATCGCCCTCCTTTGGGCCATAGTTTAGTGTTTAGTGAAGGAGACAAGCAGGTCACCCATCCCTGGGAGTTGAGATCCTAAGTTCTGAAGTTAGATTCTGGTGCAGACTTGCAGTGTGCCACGTATTGGTCATGGACCCAGCGTAAGTTAGTTAACAACCTCTGCACCTCAGTTTCTCGTCTGTGAAGTAAGTTAGTCACATTATCTGCCTCATGGAGTTGATCTCCCAGTAGAATTTAGAACGCCGCTTGATTCTCAGTAAGCATTGGCAAAGTTAGCTGAATTGGGAGTTGTTGAGTGGTCATTGTGTAGGATGGGCCTCAGGTAGTCTGAACCTAACCTGGGGACCGTGTATTCCTGTTATTTCCGTTTGACAGATGAGAAGTCAGAATCCCAGAGAAGTGAGTAACTTACTCAATAACAAACACAGTGTGTCAGTGGGTCACTGCATCACTGAGAAGTCGAGAGTAGTAAGTGGTTAAAAATAAGACTTCGGATTCAAATTGCTTACAGTTTGATGTTCAGTTCTGTGTTTTAGAGCAAGGTGTACTTTCAGGCCTCAATTTCTTTGTCTGTAAACCACAGAAAATAACCGTCACACTTGGATCTTGGGAGGACTGAATGACTCAGTCCATGCAAAGTACTTAGCATAGGATGAGCATACCTGACCCGTATTAAATGCTCAGCAACTTTTAACTAAAAAAGTTATTGCTGTCATTAACCTGGGAAGATTAGGATTCTTTTTTTTTTTTTTTTTTTTTT